CTCTGACTGTATATGAAACAAATACCCTGAAACAGATGCTATACTGGAACAGATCAAACCTCATATTTCCACCATTCCCCACTGCATTTTTTTTAATTCCTCCTCGGGTTGCTTTACCACTCTTTACGCGCTTAATGAGACAGACAGAGGCTGACGGAGAGACAGAAACAGAAATCTCATCAAGGAAATAAATGAGTATGGGTACGAGCAAGCATATTTGGCAAAATGTAATTACCGGATTAAAAGGAGAGAAATGCACATTAGGAATAAAGCAACATTAGAGGCAGGGGTGTAATGGTGCCTTTGCAGAAATGTTTCGTGATCTCCAAGCAGTGGATCAAAGTGGTTTTTATTTTATTTTTTTCATCCTAAAACAGGATCTTTGGTCGATTTCTACCATGTGGGAAGCGCTCATTTGACAGCAGAAATGAAAATGAATTATAGACTGCCCTCTCCATTCAAAATGAGAAAGGCATTATGTTCATGAATCATTTAGGACCGAGAGCGTTCTTCCAAGACAAATACGTGTACAGTAGTTGTCAAAAAGGACACTTCATCTTTCCTTCCGTTTATATAAAAGCTCTGTTCGGATGAGGCCAGGTAAATTCTGTCTGATAAATGATTTTAACATTGGAAAGTAAAGTAATTCCTGCGTTTACAGAGGTTTTCTTCACACAAAATGTGAGAATTTCCAGCTAATTTGCCTACTGTTTTTTTGTTTGTTCGTTTTTTGATGAGCACTGGGGTTACGTGGTAATTTTGTTTATTTCAAAGCCTTTTGTTACACTTATATTCAGAAAATAGACTCCAGTTGTACATGAAATCACTGAAGTACTCAAACTTTCTGTAAACCTTGAAATCCAAACAGCACTTAAAGGGATATTCCACTTTTTTGGGGGAAATAGGCTCATTTTACAACTCTCTCAGAGTTAAACAGTTGGGTTTTACCATTTTCGAGTCCATTCAGCCGATTTTCGGATATTTAGAAGAATATCAGTAACCAGACAGTTTCTTGTCCCATTGACTTCCATAGTATATATTTTTTGGTAACACTTTACTTGAAGGGGTGTGCATAAGACTGACATGACACCTTCATAATCATGACATGACATGTTTTGAAAGAGGAGGAAGTTTTATGCACGTTTATGACAACTGTCATTAAGTGTCATTGGTTCAGTTATGACATTTTTAATGCAAATATGACATTGTTTGAGATGTCTTTGTTATGACACCTTGACAGAAACCATAACATCATAACCTGCCAGTGTCTTTGTCATGACAACATGTCACTATAATGTCTTAGTATACTAAGACAACACGACCTATCATAAACATGACATAGCAGATTAATTATCAAACCTAAGAAACCACCTTCATTGGTTAACATTACATTAAACTGTCAGGTGGTTGGTTTTGACATTGGCTGTTATGAAGCCATTATAACTTTTTAATGACAAATTCAATAACTACCACTGTAGTTGAGGTCACGAAAAATATTAATGACACGGTTATGATGCCTCATGACAGCTAATGTCAAAGCCAACCACATGACAGTATTAATTTTGTTTAATGTCAAGATGTCATTACAAAGACATCTAAAAAAAATGTCAAATTTGTATTCAAAACATCATTATTGAGCGAAAGACACATGCATAAACCTTACTTCATATTCAAGACATATGTCATGTCATGGTTATGAAGGTGTCATGTCAGCCTTATCCACACCCCTTCAAGTAAAGGAAATCAATGGGACCAGAAACTGTCTGGTTACTGATATTCTTCTAAATATCAGAAAATCGGCTGAATGGACTCGAAAATAGTAAAACTCAACCTAAAATGAGCCTATTTCCAAAAAAAAAAGAAAAAAAAAAAAGAAAAAAAAGTGGAGTATCCCTTTAAGTTCAAGCAGTTTTTGTATCGCCTCTGAGCATTTCATAAAACACTTGACGTCAAAGATGTGTTGCTAGAGCACTATTGCCTACACAGGAATCTTATTTTCTGGGCAGTTTTCAGTTAAACCATCCTTTTAATCTCAGAGCGTGTGCCAGGCTGGTTTTTGACCCTGTCAGTATGGTGCCTGTTAAAATGTGCAGCGTGAGCTGATTGGTGGCTGGGAGCTTGAAGACAGAGGAGTTTGCTGCATGTTCCTAGGCCAAAAGCAGAATGTCCAAGCGATTTAAGCCCCGATGATCATCTACCGAGAACCAGAGAGTCGAGGCTCCCGACTGTTTTGGCTGAGGGCAGAATGAGGAGATAGATTTGTTCCAACGCACGCAGTCGTCGAAAAAAGCAGTTAGCGAAGCCCTTGGGGACGGTCGGAGTCTGTGAGCGAGCGAGCAACTGTTCCTTTTAAAGAACTCAAGCGCCACTGATCTCCAACAACCTTTAAAACCCGGTCCAGTCTGCTTAGCAAGCGGCAGTTTGCACGCGTGCTTTAACTCACTCCCGAGACTGACACTGAGCTGAATGGAACGCAATATCTCACTGTTATATTAAGTAAGAGCAAACCTTTTTGTGGTGTCAATGGTCTTGACTTTCAATGGTCAATGAGTCACGAAAATTAATCTTGGAATGACTAGATTGTTGGAAATCAATTCACTGGTTGAGGCAACAAAAATAACATTGTAACAAAGTATTTTATGGATACTGTGACTGTAATATTATTACTGAAATCTTATTAGTTACACTAGTTACTGCAAAAAGGGTAATATTATTACTGTAACACATTACTAGTAATTCATTATTGCCCAAAACTAATTGTAAGGTAATATGAGCAGATATTCAGACAATAGATGGTTGCTTAACCCACGTTTGTTCTCTTGGCTATAGTTGATGCCTTACTTCACATTAAAATGCACAGTTCTTTTGTTAACACATTATCATTAATCAACAAGTGAGATAAGTGATTTATTCCTAATCTGAATTTGAACAGGGCATTTTCTAATTTGTTTGGCTTCGATTGCGGTGGCATTATACTTATAATGCCCACTCTCATCAAATCTTATGATTGGCTGGGACTGTGTCAAACATTAAATTAAATCACTAGCATCAACAGTTCCCAGCAGCGCTAACATGATTTTATCTCCTAAAATTAAATAGCTTCATCCCAAGGCTTTTACTAGGTGCTATTTCACCTCATTAATATGGTTGACTGAACATTTGAAGGTGAAGAGAGATTATTCTGTGTTAAGAAGCAACTGGGTCATGAGTGGATTTATGAACATGGGTCTTTGAATCCATTCTCTAGCAGTCTTTGAAGTTTATGACAAGTTTTAAGGTTAATATTATTAAATCAAAACGGCAATGTCCAGAGGATATTATGCATAGGCATTAATAAATATTTCATTTGCATAAACAAAAGAAATTCTGTCCACGTGACACACATAGCTTACACATGCATATTTGAACACACACACACACATGCATTTAAAAACCTCCCCATACATGTTGCTGACCTAATCGATTTTTCAACCGGAGATAACCAGCAGCTCTTTTAACACATGATTTCCGTGCACAGAGTGCGTGTTTCGTCAGTGTGTTCTTCAGCGTGTTTCTGCTGCTGTCTGAAGGCCTTTCGAGGAGAGGTTTGACGAAATGTCTTCTTTCCGTGCGCACGTAAGCGCTGGGGATTATTCTGGAGCTTAAAGAAAGCAAGGAAGATGCACAGTGCTCTCTCCTCAAGAATTAATGCAATAATATAAGCGCTGAGAAGACTGACTCGTATTTAACTAAACATTGCCACATCCAATTAGTATCACACCGATACATGCATATATATATATATATATATATATATATATATATATATATACACACACACACTCTAAAAAATGCTCGGTTGTTTTAACCAAATTGTGGGTAGAATATGTACAAACCCAGCCATTGGGTTAAAAATGTAATTTAAAAATGTAACCCAATGGCTGGGTTTGTCCATATTTTACCCAAAATTGGGTTAAAACAATCCAGAGTGATACGCTGTACATATACAGTATACATTATATATATATATATATATATATATATATCTCTATATATCTCTCTCTCTCTCTCTATATATATATATATATATATGTGTGTGTGTGTGTGTGTACACTCTAAAAAATGCCGGGTTATTTCAACCCAAATTTGGGTCAAATATGGACAAACCCAAAACAAATGTGATTACAAATGTGCAGAATTAAAAATGTAATAACATGTGTATAATATCTTTTATTGTATGTAACCAAATGGCTGGGTTTGTCCATATTTTACCCAAAATTGGGTTAAAACAATCCAGCATTTTTAGAGTGATACAATATATATGTATGTATATATGTATGTATGTGTGTATATATATATATATATATATATATATATATATATAGCCTACTGTATTTACTGTATACAGATTTGTAAAAATTACAGTTGAAAGTGAAAGTTGAAGTTGGGCTAAAATTTTGAATTACATATTTGGGTTTGTCCATATTTGACCCAGATTTGGGCTAAAACAATCCAGCATTGTTTAGAGTGTATATATTAGCCACGTTGTCATAAGCGCTGATCTTTTTTAATTATAAAGCCTGTTACCGTATGCTATATGTATAGATTTGTTTCATTGAAGAAATAATTGGAGCTTTGGACCACATCAAATGCATGTTAGGAAGAAGCGTTATTGGGTTGAGCAAGTTCAGCCTTTGTTTCTCCATATTACAAAATAAATAGACTACTAAATACATAATTATACATATGATTTTTAATGGTGATTTTTTTTTAAGCAGCTTGACAACCCAGTCACTTTCATTCTATATTCCATCGTGAGTAAATAATGACAGGTTTTATTTCTAAGTGAACTATTAGGGCAATTCCTTTCAAGAAATCATCAGCTTGGCATTTTTATTGTCATAATAATTACAAAATGAACATCATGTGTACAGTGAGTGCGGAAACCTTCTTATATAAGGGTGACGTGTATAATATCTTTCATTTGTAACATATGGTTGTTTTCTCTCTTTGCTCTTTAGGTTAACGGGTTTCCAAATCCCTCCTCCCATCACCAGCACTGGGTCTGTATTCTCGCTGAGACTCACCAGTGACTTCGCCGTGAGCGCGCACGGCTTTAAAATCTATTATGAAGGTAAAGATTCCAGTCCATTCTATGTTGTGCTACATCTGATTACACTACATTGTCATTTATTGCGCATATCAGATCAAATCTGCGGTATTAATCAAGAGCTGCTCTGCTTGGCGAGTTAAAGGCGATCTGTGCCAATCATAATTGTGTTTATGAAACCTCAATGATGAGGTGGTCACTGACTAAAGACCTCATCACTCCCTATTAAACCTCTTCAAATGACTGTCTTTTAGAAACTTGCATTAAATTCCAGGAATATAGCTAAGCTAAGCGTATTGTATCACCTTCTATTCCATTAATTTTGCATGTTTACTAATGGATAGTGAAGGGTACATGCCGTCTTTCTCTTTATTGCATTAGTGGTGGGTTTTTTCCAGTTGCTTGGCTGTGCCTTTGAGTCTCTTAGACTTATTTATGAAGCCCTGCAGGCTGAGGGTTGGTTCGATCGTGTGTGTGTGTGTTTAGATACTCAGCCTGTAAATAAATAAATAAATTGCATTACTTTGCTTCATCAGTATAACTGTCTATTACATGTCTTCATACGATGCGTCATAATAACACATTAACTGCACAGCAGAGTTGGGCTTATATCTTCTTTTCTTATCCGAGTGTTTGGCGGCTGGATAAATGTGCGGAAATACCAAGACTCCCCGTATTAGCGCTGGGAGTGAGGCGGATGAGTGTGGTCTTGCTCATTGTCTGATCTGAGTCACATGAAGTCGACTGCGTCAGCCCGAAGCATCATTTACTGTGTTGATTCAGTGTCTCGGCCTGGTTGCCTCCCCTTCCCTTTGATTCATTTTTGGATCAAACAGTGCAGGGAAATGTGTCTCACTACTACAACGTCAAACTTCTTTTCTCAGAAAGCTGTGGGCCCTAATTCGTTCTTCTAGGCAGATTAAGAAACAGTGATTGTTAGTCCATAAGAAGTCAAACTTGGCTTGACTAAAAAGGGTTAAAACTTTGTTTACAATTTTGGAAAGTATTTAAATTGATTTGATTTATTTATTTATTGGAGAAACAACAGTTTATGGTGTCATTAATAGTGCAATATGAGGATATAAAGGTGCATTTTTTTCTTTCTAAACACAGATGTACTATTGTTATTCCTATCATTGTAATATTATGATAACTTGATGCTCAAAGTTTTTTTTTATGGATGCTTTTAACCATGATTTTATTAAGCGGTTTATTTTCTTTCTTCTTTTTAAATATGCTTATAAAATACCCTCTATCTTTTTATAGAGAAAGTCATCTTTATATGAGACGTCCAGTGATGCACTGGTTATAGTGACATTGAATTGGTTCTCAGTCACACATATCTGGATCATGAGCTAGGTTTGTTTGGCTGTAATTTTGTCATGTAATGCTACAGTGCATTTGGACAGACAAATTACTCTGTCCTTGATGCCTGGTTAGTGCACATTGTCTTTCATGTATTTGTATCTGGTTGTTTGGGCTATGTGTTTGCATTTGTCTTGTTTTACTTCGTTTCTTTATTGTATCAGTGTCACCTGTGATTGTGATCATGTGTCCTAACCACGCCCCGTGTTTCCTCGTTAGTGTTTATGTTCATCAGTGTCACCTGTACCTTTGTGATTGTATGTTCTCTATAAGCTTTCGGTGTTTGTTCCTCAGTGCTGGTTCGTCTTGTTAACATTTGGTTCTGTGAGTATTGTGATTGTCTGTTAAAGCAGCATTATGTTACTTTTGAAATTTTGCTCTCTGGTTCCCCCTACAGTTGGGAAACAGTATTGTCTTCTACTACTTTCGTAAAATCTCTCATGGTTACACTGGGTAATACACGCGTGCATTTGTTGACAAGCGATACCCCCTAACTCTGCAGAAGGAATGAGTTCTCACATCTTGGGCCGACTCCCAGGTACATTGACATATATTCCAGCATGACTTATGAATATAGTTTCATGGGCTTTATTTTTTTGCAAGCCTCAAAAGATTGCGTAGCTCACGTTTACAAGCCAGCGTCTTTATAGTAACGTTAGCCTATTGGCTACTGTTTTACATAATGGATATGCTAATTCAATTCAATATTTGTGTGGTAGATAATAGCCATGTCGTTAATATTACAATATCAAGCTACCATAAATGAATCTGCAAATTTGAAAAATCGATTTGCATTATAGCCTGAGGCAAGACACTTTCACCAGAAAAATAAATGACAAACATGACTATCAGCCTGCAGACATAGGATGGTAATCCTGATCGATTATTTTGTCTGTCTAACCGTGTATTATTTACTTGTAAGAATGTAGCCCCTACCAAACTCAGAAATCGGTATACTTTCACATCTCAAGCTGGCGCGAGCTGCCCGCCCCGGCTCTACGCGTATGCTTGAGTGTGTTAAGCGCCCTCAAAAGATAGCAATGCAGTCTACACTGGATGCGGCGAGGTGCGAAGCTACACAACGCATTACCAACAGTAAACTGATCACGCGCGCGCTCTGTTTCTGACACACTTCACATTTGGTTTTACTCACTGCTTCAGCCATGACAACATACAGGGGTAAAAAAATAATAATAATTAAACAAAAAATGCTCATTGGGCTCTCGCGTCAGAATTTGAGGAAGTGGGGGAAGTGATGTATGCCGTAAAGCAGTCAAATTTTAGGGTTCCTAAAAGTGATACAGACACTGTCTGGCTATGGCAGAATTGTCATTCAACTTATTGTAAGTCAATATACCATCTCAAGGGTTTTGGAAAAATATTATAAAGGTTGAAAAAGCTACATAGTGATGCTTTAATGTTCCAGTTTTATTGTCAAGTCTAGTTATTGTCTTAGTTACTATAAATAAACCGTGTTTTGGGAAAGTTACTGTCTGCACTTGGGTTCTATTTAGCGTTGACATTGACGTGTTTGTATGGATAGACACAACTAGAGCGATCATTACTTATAATATGCTGTTTGTATTTTCATACAAATCCAAAATCAAGAGATATTCAACATCATGCAGAAATTGAGATATGAAGTACGTGCTTTCCTGATTCTTTACATAATCAAATGTTTCATAATGTGGACAGCAGTTGGGTATGCATAGCCTCATCTAGCAGCCTGTCCCAGAAATGCTTGGTTGAATAAACTTGCTGAGCCGAGTTCCTGGTATGACTGGTAATTATCTTGTGATTTACCATGGGTGGATGGACGTTGAGGTTTGGAGGTGTTGCTGTAAGTCGATGACTATAGTAGAATGGACAATTTAGAGGATATATGGACATGTTTTTGTCGATTTTGGTTCCTTTTTGGTTCCTTCAAGATCTCTGGATAGTAAATGTAGGAATGTACTGCATCCCAGCTCTTTATTTGCATAAAATATTCTTTATTTTACATGAGCAGCAGTAGCCAAGTTTAGCAACTAAACTCAACATTCATGTGGGTGTTTGCTCTTGTTGTGTACGATGCCATTCGACCTCTCTGTCCCCATTTTCTTTAAAAGTGTAAAATTGGCAAAAGTATGCTCATTTATAGGCAGTCTTCCAATCAATTAATAGAACATATTTTTTTAATGGGCTCCTTAATAATCTTTCCCTGATGTCCTTAAAATATTAGTATTGGGGGAGGAGTGCATGACTGTTTGTCAAAACCAGTTGATCTCATTCATTCACTAATAAATGCATGGATTATTTTGTGTTTGCATACACAAGAGATAAGATTCAGTGTAATTTATGTCACATATGATTTGTTCTCATTCGAATGCTAATTATTAGGAGGATTGTAAATGAGCAACCACATGCCCAAGGTTGGTCATTTGCATAAAACACACCAAAGCTATTTCCATTTAAAGGGATAGTTTAATTTTTGGTATGTTTTAGCTTACCTCAAGGGCATCCAAGATGTAGGTGTCTTTGTTTCCGCAATATTTTCAATTTTGATATTTTTAGGTCAAACCGTTCTTGTCTGTCAGTCATATAATGCAGGTCTATGGTCACCACCTCACAAAGCATGCACAGATAAGTCCAGATTAAACATGTTTTAATGACTCATAAATGTAAGTACACATTGATGGCCTAAGACACGAAACGAGTAGTCTGTGTGAGAAAACGAACAGTATTTATATCGTTTTTACCTCTTGTAATCACAGCCACGTCTAAGTGATCTGAGGGCACGGGCGCTTCGGTCGGCGCAAGTGATCTCTCGCGCGGTAGTGAAAAAAAAATTAAACGTTGTCTGTGGAAATATGTTTAGATATTCACAGTGAAGGGTAACACTTCGGAAATATCTGTGTAAACAATGAGTGAGGTACACGCGCAAGAGATCACTTCTAGCACTTGCCCAGACCGAAGTACCCACGCCATTTGGACGTGGCTGTGGTTACAAGAGGTAAAAACTAAATAAATACTGTTAGTTTTCTCACACAAACTGCTCGTTTCGTGTCTTAGGCCATCAATGTGTACTTACATTTACGAGTCATTAAATCATGTTTAATTTGGACTTCTCTGTGCATGCTCTTTGAGGTGGTGACCATAGATCTGCATTATATGACTGACAGACAAGAACGGTTTAACCTAAAAATGTCAAAATTGAAACTACTGTGGAAACAAAGACACCTACATCTTGGATGCCCTTGAGGTAAGCTAAAACAACACTATCTCACGACCAATTCGTACGAATTCGACGCATGATTAAAAAGTGTCTATTTCGTACTAATTCGTACGACCTCACTCGTACTAATTCGTACGATTTGTCTAAACCCACGTGATGGTTAAGTTTAGGGGCGGGGTAAGGGGTAGGTCATTCATATGAATTCATACGAATTGGCCAATTCGTAAAATATGTACGATTTAGCAAAATCGTATTAATTTGTACGAGTGAGGTCGTATGAATTGTTACGAATTAGCCACTTTTTAATCATTCGTCGAATTCGTACGACTTGGTCGTGAGATCGGGTTGGCTAAAACATATCAAAAAATAATTTCAAAATGAATTATCCCTTTAAATCCAAAGATTGTACATAATGTGCCTTTACTGAACAGTTTCTTGGTTTCCT